ATTTATAAAGGGATTCTGCACACCTACAGGAAAATAGCTTTCCAACGGTATGCGTAGATTTTCCCTACGATTCACACGAGCTGAGAAAAAAGGTTTTAAAGAAACATGCTTGCCTATTAATATATAGATTAGTAGCCCTAAACATGCAAGAAAATAATATATATATATCCGTCCGGACGATAACTTGAGTAATTTTTGTCCGATTTTAATAAAATTTGGTTTGAAGGTGTAAGGCGGGATAAACTTGGATGAGTTCGCGAACCAGCATAATCGTACCATGGGAAAGGGGTTTAACGGGGGTTTTATGGGGTAAAAATGGGATTTTACCATTTTTTACCCTTAAAACACAAAATTTATAAATTTTTCTCCAGATCTTTTTAAAGAGCTTAAAAACAAATAATTAAGTATATCAAAGTGTTTTTGTACGGTGATTGGTTACGGAGAAATTTCAAAAAAATTTTTAATTTAAATTTCCCATGTTATTCTTATGGAGAATATTGTAAAATGTTGTCTAGTTGACTTGTTTATGGATATATTTTGATTAAACTTGGAGGATTTATTTATTTCATACTAAGCTATTGATATTTTAATAAAAAACACACTTTATTAGTTTCCCTGTAGCAGCAAACCTAGGTACTCGTTAAACATAAATGTTATTTTAATAGATCGATTAAAAATCAATCCAGGCAAATGGAAATTCGCTTAGTCGGCAGGTTTGCTGCGGCGGGGGTATCTTATGTACTGTAGATCTTCAAATTTATTTCTTCTAATTTATCATATACGATATACTAATAATATTTACATTTATTTACGTCTATTTACAACTGCCTTCATCTTTGAAACTGGAACAACAAATTAACATTACAATTTGGCTTTTTCAAATGAGGAAATATCTTAGTGTGAATCTTGTATAGGTCTGTTTTGTTTGTTTGTCACCAAGTTACGAAGCATGGGGTATGTTTATAGGTATACTAATAATATTTATATTTATTGGCTTCTATTTACAGGTTTATAGGCTTATATACTCGTGCACTTTACGTAAGTGACGGTTCAGGAGCCACCGTTTTTTAAAAGACTTGTCGACTTGTCACAAAAGTCACATGAAGGCTGGGTTTATGCACGAGGAGCGGGAGCGGGGCGATAGCGGGCCCGCTGCCGCTCCCGCTGTAAAAATGTTGTCAGAATTGTGCAAGCGATAGCGGTTGCCGTTGGTCAACGGAGAATGGAGTGGGGGAAACAGTCTTGCCAACTCAAACTCTGCCAAATAATTAACACAACAACACAACAGTACTGGTCTATCCTCCCGAGTGCAATGGATCCCGGTATTATTTGTAGCGCTTTACCTACTAATTAAAAAGAGAAAACGGAGACAAAGAGATGATGGGGTGTACATCATATGACAATTCTCCCTATTTCTTCGGCGGAGAGTCTTTGAAGTTTGGGCAAAACAGATCATATAATTCCATCCATTGCTGCTTCTTAAAATTACGGTTTTTAAAATATTCACTCCAATTGTCCCAAAACCCTGTTCGAAAGTGTTGGTCGCCATTTCATTGAACAGTATTAACAGATCTTCTTCCGAAGACTCCATCACTCCGTAGTCGGAGTCCGTACCAGACGAGAGCTAACAGTAGTAAAGAAATACCCTCTGACCGAATCCAGAAGACAGTGTACGTACGCGTGGGTCAAGTTGGCAACCCTGGCTGCAGCCGCTCCCGCTCCCGCCGTGCATAAACAGTCTCATTTGATTTGAGTCAATGTAGTTGAAATTGAAAACCGCTCACTCCCCCAAAAACCGCTGCAATTTCTAACTACACAGCGGTCGAAATAGAAACCGCAACGGGAGGTCAACCGCTATACCGCTATACCGCTATCACTCTTCGTGCATAAACAGCCCCATTTAACTCAATGATGTTGAAAATCGCTCCCGCTACCGCTACCACTCCCGCTCTTCATGCATAAACGGGGCCTCAATTAACATTTATTAAACGTGAGACACAAGTCTGAAACACATACATTAACTAACCTACAAACGAGACGTTTTGAGTTTTGACAGTGATAGAGACAGTAGACACAAAAAATACTAGTGTAGAAAATACCTTTTCCTACAGTCACCCGACAAAGTTGGCTTCCTTGTACTGTTTATAGTACAGAAAGCTACTAATTGCTGCATATTTATACTTTGTCGTACGGTTTATACTTTGGCGCATATCAGGATTCCAACGAAACAACACAAAACAGCGTGGTTCTATTATGCACGTAATCCGTGTACGCTTGGATATAGGTTGGCAACACTTAAAGATAATAATAATAATAAGACTGGGACGGGTGGCGTCGTCCTGTAATCCAGCTACTAGGAGGTCACGAATTGTGGATATTTATAGGCATGCACTGTGGATGTGATACTCCCTGGTGTGGATTAACGTCCGCACAAGTGAGTACTACGACTATCCGCAGTACTATCCTGATAATTAGACCAATTCGTATACCAAGGAAAAATGTGGTTCGGATTCCACTATAAACTGTAGGTCCCTTAGTTGCCATTAGCTGTATGGGCTATTAATTAACAGCTGTGTCTAAGGAATGTCGGCCTTAGTCACTAACAAGACTACAAGATCGCGCCACTCATCCTACACTCATCTCCATTCATACTTGGCTTAAAATACCTACTATGTATGGTCATACCATTTCATCGAACAGTATTAACAGTAATAATACTATGAGCAGCTGATTGAATATTATAACTACGATTTAACCTGTCATTTCGTGTTTATAGTTTGTTCTCTTTTCGGTATTTCTGAACATTCTGGACTTTTCTTTTAAACGTTTTTAAAACATTCCTACGATCTTAATAAACAAGAAAATACATTTTAAGCATTTTTTTAAGGCACGGAAACCACTGCAAATTACAAAAATATACGGAACTATTTTCTCAAGTCGCGGAGAACATTGCTTGCCGAGGAAAAATAGCGGAGTGATACGGACCGGAGACCACTTTCTCTAGGGCACCTATTTGTGTTGCCAGCTGAACCTAAAAACGTGTTGTATTGTGTTTGAAAGACTAATTATTTATATGCTTTATAGTGACTGTAGGAAAAATATAATGTGTAACACGAGTGCAAAAGGCCTTTGCTGTACTCGAGATCATTCCGCACTCGCCTACGGCTCGTGCACTAGTTACACAAATAACTATTCTAGAGATAACAAATTTACCGCGAACAGTTCGGTTATGCTCGGTAAGATTCGGAAGTGTTCGGCACGGTGCGGTGGTGGGGTAAGTTCCTGTCAGTAAGGTCTCGTGACTGACGACAACCGATTGGTCGATCGATATGACTACAAACGATATTGAACCGATATTTGTCAAGAATCAAGAATTTATTCGACCATTCAACAATTACATGCTATCAGACTACAAAATGTTGTAAAAATGTGGGTCAACACTATGGTAGTGATAAAATGGTCACCGATTTCTTATCGTTCCATGCATAATGTTATGCCCCAAATTGATTTGATTTATTTACATTTTCGTAAAACTGCTTAGCTGCTTGACAATCCATCATGATGAAACTAATGTTAAGAATATTAATTTCATTTTAAGTTTTTAAAGGAAATAGTTATTTGTGTAACTAGTGGTGAAAGTGGCACTTTGCTGCACACGAGAGCAATGTTTACGCACGAGCCGCAGGCGAGTGCGGAATGATCTCGAGTGCAGCAAAGGCCTTTTTCACTCGTGTTACACATTATATTTTTCCTACAGTCACTATAAAACATAAATAATTAGTCTTTCAAACACTATACAACACGTTTTTAGGTTCAGCTAGCAACACAATTACACAAATGGTGCCCTGGAGAAAGTAGTACCCGTGGTCCGTATCACTCCGCTATTTTTCCTCGGCAAGAAATGTGCTCCGTCTTTTGAGAATATAGTTCCGTATGTTTTTGTAATTTGAAGTGGTTTCCGCGCCTAAAAAAAATGCTTTAAAGGTATTTTCTTGTTTATTAAGACCGTAGGAATGTTTTAAAAACGTTTAAAAGAAAAGTCCAGAAAGTTCAGAAATACCAAAACTATAAACACGAAATGACAGGTTAAATCGTAGTTATAATAGTCAATCAGCTGTTCATAGTATTATTATCTTTAAGTGTTGCCAACCTATTTCCAAGCGTACACGGATTACGTGCATAATAAAACCACGCTGTTTTGTGTTGTTTGGTTGGAATCCTGATGTGCGGCAAAGTATAAACCGTGCGGCAAAGTATAAACCGTACGGCAAAGTATAAATATGCAGCAATTAGCAGCTTTCTGTGCTATAAACAGTACAGGGAAGCCAACTTTGTCGGGTGACTGTAGGAAAACGAATTTTCTTAAGACAAAGTCTAGCATAGTAGCATAGATATTGTTTTCGCCTAAACCAAGATATTTATAACAATTTGAATTTGGCTTGGAGGAAATCATTGGAGCCGTTTTTTTAAATAACTGTGCGTAAACGTGGCTAGTATTATTAAAGTATTCATATGTTTTTCTTCCTAGTGTATAAAATCACAACACATTTAGGCCTAGGCCATAGTTAAAGTATTTTTAATTTCGTAAAGTAGATTGTCCCTGGGGTTGTTTTGTTTTAGTTTTTCTTTGCTTCAATTGCTTCTGCTTGGTACCGTTCAAAATAATCGGCAAGTGGCGTTCTATTGTAAACTCACAAAAAAGACCGTGCGTCCCTTAAGTTAATATTCCTACAGATTAGCCATCGTAAAATATGAGACTAACACCTTTGAGTTCCAATAATACGTTAGTCAATTTTAATAACAGCTGGTATTTTAAACCAAAGAAAATTATTTGTCTGCTTTGAGCTTGTTATTCCCTTCAGTTCCGTTACTATTTACTACACTACTCCACTACTGACTGACGACATTTATTTCAGTTGATTTCCCCGTCTACCTACCTACAGTCTACACTGTTTTCGTTTTCAGTTCACTCACTTCCAGAGTTCCAGAGTCTCCCTACCCCCACCCTGTCCCTCCCTACAATAGTCCTATCCCTATCCTACTCTGACGTACACAATCCGAATCCACAATCCCACTGCATCATGGCGGACATCTCAAAGGACGACCTGAAGACAGAAATTGCCGGTAAATCATTTTATTAATTCAATTAAGCTATTTTAGAGTGGGTGATGGTAAAAAACCATGATTAAATAATTTAATCTATCATTTTTATATGAAACATTTTGTGGGTTATCGGTAGAAATCAGCTAGTTATCTCTTGAAATTGCTCTAGAATATACGCTTCTACTTACTAGTGCCCGCACAATGGCTTGCCGAACAGGACGCTTTGTCTTGGCGGCTTGCAATCATGATTATTTATCAAGCAGATATAATTGATGTTCCATATGCTAAGTTGTGCAAATTGTTAAGTAATGTCTTTAATTTAAAAATCCGAATAAGATAATTTGATATAGCCTTTGACTTAAACGTAAATAAAAACTCTGCTTTAAGTTATTGGTTACAAGTAACTTATTTTTGAAATTTTAATGTAGGCCTATTTTGTTCAACCTACTATTTCTATAGTTCAAAAACAGATTGGAGGTAACATAAATCAACAATTTGGTTCATCATAACCTAAACTTTTAACCTAAGGACATAAAGTTACTTGATCCAACCTAACTTAACTTCAAAGCACTTAAACTTAATACAGTCAGGAATCGGCATTAAGCCCAACCTAACTTACCTAAGTTACTTCACGCATATTTTTATCATAACTTACTTAGGCTAGTAAAGGTTTTTAAGCTGTTCGAGAAGTTTGGTTAGAACAGTGTTAATTTGTAATGTAGGCCTATCAATAATCAAATAATCTATGTTATCAAAGACGTCTCACTACGGAATAAGTTAGTCGTTAGGGCTAAAGGCCTAACCAAATAGGACTAACTTAAATTAACTTAGGCACGGTTCACATGTGTGACTTGCCTAGCTGACTAGGCTTTGACTACGTTAACTTAAGTTAACCCTCCGAGGGTCCCTAGTTTTGGCCTTAATGTTTGCCTATTTTTTGCGCATTTGCAAGGTTTTATTAAAACAGATCTGAGAAGCTTAAAAACAATGTTAATTATACTGTTCTATATACCATTTTGTTTGGAAAATCATGGGCTTCAATATTATACAGTACATAAAACATAAGATAAGAAACATTTGTTTCAAAAAAAAATTTTAGGTAAAAAAAAATATTTTGGAAAATAAAAAAAAATAAGTTCGCGCTCAATGAAATTGTATAAATTATAGGCCTATAAATATTTGAAAATAGCCATTTTGTTCTAAATTTTATGAGGATTACAAATATATAATAATATACTTAAGGAAGTAGATTTGCAAATAAATAAGTTAGGTATGGGCAAAAAACAGATTTCAGTACATAGCGTTTAGCTAAGAATGCATAGCCTAACCATAGCTAGGAATCTGGCTGATAATTTACATCAATATCACTACCTACTTCTTCAAGATCATCAACCAGCCCTTCAAAATCACTTAAATCTTCTTATAATGCACCACGTAGGCCTATTTCACTACTTTTGATTTTTAATACTAAAACAATGATAAACGTAATAAAACACCTCAGTTATCGGTGCGAGGTTAACCAAGCTGTTTACAAATACGCACGTCAGCTGTCTGCTACAATTAAGATCGGCTCGTGAGAAAAAAGCGCTTAGAGACAGACCTCGGGAGAAACCCGATATAGGGGTTATTATATGGGTGAATTTCCCATATAGGGAATATTAGCAAATTTCCCATATAGGGAATAAGCTATTACCGTAGGTCTCATGGTAAGACCTAGACCTGGGACCGATTTACTTTTTCGTTTTGAGGTCCCCAGAGGCCAAAAACACCATCCATTCAAATCTATATATATAATTCTGTAAGACAAAATGTTTACCAGAAAATTGTGGACGTCTGGTAGGTCGCAGAAAAGTGGGAGAGGTCTTAAATTAAAGGTCTTGACCCCAGGGACTCGGGAAAAATAGCAGAATTCCCATAAAGTTACCAGAAAACGAGATATAACGTTAAATATAAGAACATATTAGAGACATAAGAAATGCATGGGGACTGGAAAACGTCTGCAGTCTATCAGCTGTTACTTATTTATATGCAATGTTGACATTTATTCCGAAAGTCAATGTTGGTAAATAATGTTTCAAAATGAATTGTATTTGTTTAATTTTTTGTTTTCCGTTTTTATAATGAGTGAAGTAACTAGACAGGGTAGGGGAAGACCTGCAAGACGTGGAAGAGTGTCCAGGAATTCAACAGATTTAAGAAATGCTGAAAGAGAATGTCATGTAGGGCCTAACTGTGAAAGAAATCCAGAAGCTGTTTTACAACCTGTCTTTAGTAGAACGCTGGAAAATGAGTTGAGTGTTGTTACTCACAATCTAGGTCCTCTTAACAGCACTTGCATGTATTGTGGCACATTTCACTTCGCAGAGGAGGCCACAAATGGACATTTCAACGCATGTTGCCACAATGGACATGCCACAACCACAAGTAAATGACGAACTAAAACAACCGTTTTTACATGATTCGAACTTCATAAAAAACATAAGACAATACAACAGTGCAATGGCTTTTGCGTTGCTTTCCGCTACACAAAAAGAGATTCCGGGAAATGGGACTTAATGGTTTAAAATTAAGGTACAAATTCATTGATATATTTCTGAGTTACTACCGCGAAATGAGGAGTTAATAATTAATAATATTTTAACCTTTACATTTGGTTCTCAAAATGGAAACTATAGCAGAATTCGTAAGATTACAAAACAAATCTTCAAATAATTTAAACTAGAAAAGATGTGCTGTATGATTTCAGCTCTGATTCGTCGTTCTCCGGGCTCAGGCCAAACCGTGTGCACGTTTCCATTTGTTAATATGTTGTGTTATTGATTTAATCATTATTTTACAATTGTATTTCATTGACACATCAGAAGCAACTAATATACGACTCCAACGGAAGGCAAACCAAGATATAAAACAAGAAACACTGTTAATTTTAAGTAACATAAAATTTATAATTTTAAAAACATATTTAGAATATTTGTCTTTTTATATAATGGTTTTTTATTTTAGTCTAAATTAGAGGCTATGGCCCCTACAGGCCACTAGTTCATATATATATATATATATATACTAGCTGTAACCCACGGGCTTTGCCCCGTTTAACTTCTTAATTTTCAAGATTATCTCGTTCGCATGGCTCAATCACGTCCTGGTTGAAGTTTGTTCGCTACGCTCACTCACCTTTAGGTTGGAGCTCGTTTGCTGCGCTCACTTGCCTTCAGGTTAGCTCGTTCGCTATGCTAACTTGCCTCCAGGTTGAAGTTCGTTCGCTACGCTCACTCACCTTTTGGTTGCAAATTAGCTGTTGTCATAAATATAAAAGAAATAATAGTGCTGCACCCTGTTGGTAAACCTTGTAACTTTAATGCTATTGAACATCATAGAACAGAACCAACTTGTTTAATTGAAACAGCTGTTAAGATTCAATAATTCCATTTCTCATAAGGTTAACATGGGAAACTCCAGAGCCACTGGGGCGGAGCCCGAAAGGATTTTTGAAATAAGAATATGCCTATATGTTAATCGGGAATGTGAGCTATCATCATGCCAAATTTCAGCCCAATCCGACCAGTATTTTTCGCGTTCACTTGTCACAAACATACATCCATACATCCAAACTTTCTCATTTATATTATTATAATATATACTAGCAACAGTGCCCGTTGTGGTTAAATACAACGGTCTCTAGTAAAATAATGGTTATGAAATCCATACACCACTTTACTCACTATAATATTAATGGTACAGATTAAGCACATAACATTAGATTAGATAGTTGGATTGCATACTGGTAAACCAATTATTGCCATCTATAAAAATTATTGGTTTTTCTTTTCCGAGTCGGGTTAGCTCTTTTACCCAACCGATTTTCATAATTTTAGCCTTAAACTAAAGACGTACCACAGATTTGCCATTAAGCATCGGCATTCATTTTGATGTATATTTTGAAAGAATTTAAATTAGATTTTTTTTTTTCACTTCATTAAAGTTGTATTCCAGCAGTTCTAATTACATTACCCTATATGTTTTGGTCTAAAAACCTTTAGTGAAATACCAGCTTTCATTTGAGCTACTGTATTGATTATTAAGATCGGACTACCTAAAACACACTGCTGAATCACGAATCAACAATAATTACAATCGTTTTAGTACTTATCTGCAATCAATGATACGTAACTCTATTTTTATTTAAGTTATTTTATATGTCTTGGTCTTAAAATACTTCATAGGCTTTCACTTGAGATATTGATAGTTTTAAACAGTTAAGTTTAAGATACTGTATCGCTCAATCAGAAAATATAAATTTGATTATATCTTGGATATGGAATTTAGTTTTAGATATATTTACTTGATTCTAATTGCGTTATTCTATTTGTTTTTGTTATATAGTGTATTTTTTCATAATAGCCTAGCTAAGTCACTATTGCCAAAGGCGTTTTTTGGTTACTTCTTCTTCTTATCCTTAAAGCGGAAATGTCACTATGTTGTAGGGTTATGTCTGTCTCATGGTGTTGTAATAATGATGTAGAGAGAGAAATGTGGTCAATCTTATTTTCGGATGATTTGCTTAATAAACTAAAGTTGTTCTTTAATGGTGAAGTTTATTAATGCCCTCCGCCTCAACAAAGGTTATGGGCCCAGTAGAATTTATCAAATGTTTTTTAATAAGTGTGATTGAAGTGGATAACAAATTATGGCGTTGAGCGGCGTTACGGTGCCTATCTTAATAGGTAACAATTTCAATAACTGGAAATTTAGAATTACTGCCATCCTCGAAAAGGAACAGTTATTATCAGTTTTGAGTGAAGATCAGCCTACAGATGAAACCAAGAAAAAGGAATTTCTTGTGAATGATGCCAAGGCTAGGGCTCTGGTTATTCAGGGTGTTTCAGATAAACATTTAGATCTAATTAAAGATGCAAAATCTGCTAAAGGTATGTTAGAAGCTCTACAAAATTGTTTTTAAGATCTAGTTCTTTTTCTAAGCTGACTTTGTGGAGAAAATTAGTCACTTTAAAGTGTAATAA